GATGTCCTTCAATGGAAGAATGGATGAAGAAAGTGTGGAATATATACACATTAGAATACTACTCAGCGGTAAAAAACAATGACTTCTCGAATTTTGCATGCAAATGGATGGAAATAGAACACACTATCCTGAGTGAGGTAACCCAGACCCAAAAAGATGAACTTGGGATGTACTTACTCATAATTGGTTTCTAGAGATAAATAAAGGTCTGCCCCTTTTTGAATGGAAACTGAGGAGGAGTGTATGGGGGAGGGGTAAAGAGGAAGTCTAAGGAAGGAATAGGGAAAGGAGGGCTGCAATCCAGATGTAAAATAATTGAAAATTTTAAATTAATAGCACCCCCAAAGGAGAGGACCATCAGAGTGGTACATGAGAGGTATTTGGTGAGGAAAGAATGTTATTGTTTATAACTAGACAGTCTCAAGCTTCAATTTCTGTGGAGGATTTTAGAAAAATATCAGAAAAAAAAAACAAGTTTTTTCTAACATCATCAAACTGAAAATGGAGAAGGTTCTGGAAATGGTGTGGCTAGCAAAGTCATGCTGAATTCTGAAAACATCACAATGATAAACTCGGGCTACAGATGAATTGTCAGACAGCTCACAGGTTGTGTGTGTTACTTGTTAACTCCTCTGTGTCTCTCCTCAGGATCTTTGGGGCCTACAGTACGGACGTGATCACTGCCACATCGTTTGGAGTAAACATTGATTCCCTCAACAACCCCGAGGATCCCTTTCTGAAAAATACCAGAAAGCTAGTAACATATGGCTTTTTCAAACCACTACTTTTCTCTGTAGGTATGAGCCTATTTTTCAACCATGTAAACATTGTAATTTATTTTCCATTATATGCAAAGTTAAAAGCTTCTCATAGTGTATACATAAACACTTAATTCTCTGCCTTATCTCACTCTCTCCACTCTATGATCTAGCCCTGTCATCCCCCATTGTGTGTTCATATCACATGTGGTTATTCACAATTGCCAAATACTTTTATAGGTCTGAGAAATTTGAATCAAGATAAACTGAAAAAAAGGAGAGGTAGGTTTGTACAGTCACATCATGTAGAAGAGTTTCATCTCAAGGGAAACTGAGTCACAGAGGACCTATCAAGCAGGGCGTTCCATGTTCAAAAGAGAAGAAAGTTATATAGAGAAAGCTTCCCAAAACCTTACATAAAATGAAAAAATGGAGAAATTGTAATGGCCTTCTAAATTGAACTTGGATATAATATAAATAAAGAATAACTCAAAGAAAATGAGAATGGGGTGGTCTACGGATAATAAAATCAACTAGACAGATAATGGGTTGTCTCACTGCTGAAAGATCCTCTGTACATATTTTCCCAAAAATCCTGCTCCAGAATATTTTTGCATGTTGACTTTCAACTTCATATTCTTCCTGGACTATCCACCGTGATTGTGAAGCAGCTAGTTGGACCAGAGTGTAGTGGTTGGACCATGTTTATTTATGTTTTGATGATTTTGTCTTTTTTTTTATTGAAAAATTTCCGCCTCCTCCTGGCCTCCCATTTGACTCCCCCTACACCCACGCCTCTCCCTCACCCTCTCCAGTCTGAAGAGCAGTCAGGCTTTCCTGCCCTGTGGGAAGTCCAAAGTCCTCCCCCCTCCATCCAGGTCTAGGAAAGTGAGCATCCAAACAGGTTAGGCTCCCACAAAGCCAATGCATGCAGTAGGATCAAAACCCAGTGCCATTGTCTTTGGCTTCTCATCAGCACTCATTGTCAGGCACAGTCAGAGAGTCCGGTTTTATCACATGTTCCATCAGTCCCACTGGCCTTACGAGCTGCTAATAGACCAGCCCCACCATCTCAGTGGGTGGGTGCACCTCTCGTGGTCCTGACTTCCTTGCTCATGTTTTCCCTTCTTCTGCTCCTCATTTGGACCTTGGGAGCTCAGCCCAGTGCTCCAATGAGGGTCTCCGTCTCTATCTCCATCCATCACCAGATGAAGGTTCTATGGTGATATGCAAGATATTCATCAGTATGGCTATAGGATAGGGCCATTTCAGGTTCCCTCTCCTCAGTTGCCCAAGGAACTAGCTGGGGACATCTCCCTGGACACCTGGGAACCCCTCTAGAGTCAAGTCTCTTGCCAACCCTAAAATGGCTCCCTTAATTAAGATATATACTTCCCTGCTCCCATATCCACCCTTCCTCCATCCCAACCATCCCATTCCCCCAAGCTCTCCCCATTCTCCCCTTCTCACTTTTCTCTCCCCATTTCCCCTTACCCCCATCCCACCCCACCTCCAAGTTCCCAATTTTTGCCCGGTAATCTTGTTTACTTCCAATATCCAGGAGCATAACTATATGTTTTTCTTTGGGTTCACCTTCTTATTTAGCTTCTTTAAGATCACGAATTATAAGCTCAAAGTCCTTTATTTATGTCTAGAAACCAATTATGAGTGAGTACATGCCATGTTTATCTTTTTGGGTCTGGGTTACCTTACTCAGTATAGTGTTTTCTATTTCCATCCATTTGCATGCAAAACTCAAGATGTCATTGTTTTTACCGCTGAGTAGTACTCTATTATGCATATATTCCACACTTTCTTCATCCATTCTTCCACTGAAGGGCATCTAGGTTGTTTCCAGGTTCTGGCTATTACAAATAATGCTGTTATGAACATAGTTGAACAAATGCTTTTGTAATATGATAGGGCATCTCTTGGGTATATTCCCAAGAGTGGTATTGCTGGGTCCTGGGGTAGGTTGATCCCGAATTTCCTGAGAAACCGAAACACTGATTTCCAAAGTGGTTGCACAAGTTTGCATTTCCACCAGCAATGGATGAGTGTTCCCTTTTCTCCACATCCTCTCCAGCAAAGGCTATCATTGGTGTTTTTGATTTTAGCCATTCTGACAGGTGTAAGATGGTATTTCAAAGTTGTTTTGATTTGCATTTCCCTGATTGCTAAGGAGGTTGAGCATGACCTTAAGTGTCTTTTGGCCATTTGACTTTCTTCTGTTGAGAATTCTCTGTTCAGTTCAGTGCACCATTTATTAGTTGGGATAATTAGCATTTTAAAGTCTAGTTTCTTGAGTTCTTTATATATTTTGGAGATCAGAACTTTGTCTGTTGCGGGGTTGGTGAAGATCTTCACTCAGTAGGTAGGTTGCCTTTTTGTCTTAATGACAGTTTCCTTTGCTTTACAGATCTTTTCAGTTTCAGGAGTTCCCATTTATTCAATGTTGCCCTTACTGTCTGTGCTGCTGGGGTTATACCTAGGGAGCGATCTCTTGGGCCCATATGTTGTAGAGTACTTCCCACTTTCTCCTCTATTAGGTTCAGTGTGTTCAGATTGATATTGAGGTCTTTAATCCATGTAGACTTGACTTTTGTGCATGGTGATAGATATGGGTCTATTTTCATTCTTCTACAGGTTGAAAACCAGTTATGCCAGCACCATTTGTTGAAAATGCTTTCTTTCTTCCATTGTATACTTTTAGCACCTTTATTGAAAATTGGGTATTCATAGGATTGTGGGTTAAAATCCACATCTATTCGATTCCATTGATCGATTTCTGTTTTTATGCCAATACCACGCTGTTTTCATTACTGAAGCTCTGTAATAGAGTTTGAAGTCAGGGATGGTAATGCCTCCAGAAGTTTCTTTATTTTATAAGATTCTTTTGGCTATCCTGGGCTTTTTTATTTTCCATATAAAGTTGATTATTGTCCTCTCAAGATCTGTGAAGAATTTTGATGGGACCTTGATGGGAATTGCATTGAATCTATAGATTGCCTTTGGTAAAATTGCCATTTTTACTATGTTGATCCTCCCAATCCAAGAGCAAGGGAGATCCTCCCATTTTCTGGTATCCTCTTCAATTTCTTTCTTCAATGCTTTAAAGTTCTTGTCAAATAGATCTTTCACTTCCTTGGTTCGAGTTATCCCAAGATATTTTATGCTGTTTGTGGCTATTGTGAAAGGTGAAGCTTCTCAGATTTCCCTCTCTGCTTCCATATCCTTTGTGTATAAGAGGGCAACTGATTTTTTGGAGTTGATCTTCTATCCTGCCACATTACTAAAGGTGTGTATCAGCTATAGGAGTTCTTTGGTGGTGTTTTTAAGGTCTCATGTATACTCTCATATCATCTGCAAATAACTAAAATTTGGCTTCTTCCTTTCTAATTCAAATCCCCTTGATCCCCTTATGTTGTCTTATTGCTATTGCTAGAACTTAAAGCACTACATTGAAGAGGTATGGAAAGAGTGGACAGCCTTGTCTTATTCCTAATTTTATTGGAATGGATTTGAGTTTCTCTCCATTTAATTTGATGTTAACTGTCAGCTTGCTGTATATAGCTTTTATTATATTTAGATATGACCCTTGTATCCCTAATCTCTCTAAGACCTTTATCATAAAGGGGTGTTGAACATTCTCAAATGTTTTTTCAGTATCTAATGAAATGATCATATTGTTTTTTCTTTCAGTTTATTGATATGATGGATTACATTGATAGATTTTTTTCATATGTTAAACCAACCCTGCATCTCTGGGATAAAGCCTACTTGATCATAATGGATAATTTTTTTAATGTGTTCTTCAATTTGGTTTGCCAGTATTTTATTGAGAATTTTCACGTCAATGTTCATGAGTGAGATTGGCCTGTAATTCATTTTCTTGTTTGAGTCTTTGTGTGGTTTCTGTGTCAGGGTAATTGTAGCTTCATAAAAGGAATTTGGCAATGAAACTTCTGTTTCTATATTGTGAAATACAATATGGAGTTTAGGTATTAGGTCTTCTTGGAAGTTCTGGTAGAATTCTGCATTGAAACTATCTGGTTCTAGGCTTTTTTTTTGGTAGTGAGGTTTTTGATAACAACTTCTAATTCTTCAAGAGTAACAATTCTATTTAGATTGTTTACCTAGTCCTGGTTTAACTTTGGTATATGGTACCTATCTAAAAAATATCCATTTCTTTTACATTTTCCATTTTTGTGGCATACAGGCTTTTTTAGTAAGATCTAATGATTCTCTGAATTTCCTCTGTGTCTATGGTTATGTCCCCCTTTTCATTTCTGATCTTATTAATTTGTGTGTTCTCTCTGCCATTTGATTAGTTTGAATAGGGGTTTATTAGTCTTGTTGATTTTCTCCAAGAACCAGCTTTTTGTTTCATTGATTCTTTGGATTGTTTTATGTGTTTCTATTTCATTGCTTTCAGCCCTCAGTTTATTTCCAGTCTTCTACTCCTGCTAGGTGAGTCTGCTTCTTTTTTTTTTTCTAGAACTGTCAGGTGGGTTGTTAAGTCTCCAATGTGTGCTTTCTCCGTTTTCTTTAAGTGGGCACTTAGTGCTATGAACTTTCCTCTTAGGACTGCTTTCATAGTGTCCCATAGGGTTGCGTATGTTGTGTCTTTATTTTCATTAAATTCAAGGAAGACTTTAATTTCTTTCTTTATTTCTTCCTTGATCCGGGTGTGGTTCAGTAGTTGACTGTTCAGTTTCCATGAGTTTGTAGGCTTTCTGTGGGTAACATTGTTGTTGAATTCTAACTTTAATCCATGGTGATCTGATAAGACACAGGTGGTTACTAATATTTTTTGTAACTGTGGAAGTTTGCTTTGTTAGCGAGTATGTGGTCAATTTTCGAGAAGGTTCCATGAGCTGCAGAGAAGAAGTTATATTCTTTCTTATTTGGCTGGAATGTTCTATAGATGTCTGTTAAGTCCATTTGATTCATTACCTCCATTAATTTTCTTATTTCTTTGTTAGTTTTCTGTCTGATTGACTTGTCCATTGGGGAGAGAGGAGTGTTGAAGTCTCCTACTATTAGTGTGTATGGTTTGATGACTGCCTTGAGTTTTAGTAATGTTTCTTTTACATAAGTGGGTACATTTATATTAGGGGCATAGATATTCAGGATTGAGACTTCATCCTGATGAATTGATCCTGTTATGAGTAAAAAATGTCCCTCTCCATCTCTTCTGATTGATTTTAGTTTGAGGTCAACTTAGTTAGAAATTAGTATGGCCACACCTGCTTGTTTCTTAAGTCCATTTGCTTTCCCAA